AGAAGGAAGAGGGGGGGGGGGGGGGGGGGGGGTACTCATAGTCGTGCATGCCGTAGTCGTTAGACCATTGACCTCGCATCCCTACAAAGCCGGGACGGAGCACGCCGGGTTCTCACCGGACCAGGCTCTCACATCACCAGGCGCGAAGCGCCGTTAGTTATTCGGCGAGTCGCATGAAGGGTGAGCTGCATCCTGCTAAGGGTGTTCGGCACCTTGTGCCTACCTCCTTGCGTACGGATGACAGCTGCGTACGACTTAATTTATTTTCTGGTGCTTTCACTCCAAGTTGTAAACACTGTCTGTGTCACTGCCTCGAGGGTGCTTGACCAATTTAACACAACGTGGTGCCATTATCCCCCCTGCGCGGAGTGAGGGTTCTCACCCCGCACAACATGATCTACTCGACCATCATTCATGGGGTATTCATGTTTTACATGCCTTAGTTGTTAGACCATTGGCCACGCGTCTTCGAGAGGACGGAGCATTGGGGAGAGGGCGGGCAACTGATGGGGTTACGGGTTGTCATCGTCTGCTAGTTAGCACAACGTGAATACCCAAAAGTGATGGGAAGCACCCGCAGGAAAAATAAATCGATTGAAAAATCGAGGGATTTTCTTCGTCCTTGCCAAGAGGGGCATGTACAACGGGAAGCGCTATTGTACGATGAGCAGCAGCAGCAGCGCTCACAAAGTCAACTGGAAATATGGACAACCCTCAACTTACCTTCCACAAGAAACACGGACAAATTCATACTCTCCCTCCCCCATCTCGAGGAGGAAATGAGACAGAGAGGGTGTGACATGGACAAGTTTGGTAAATTAGACAACAGCGAAAAAACGATCGCGATAATTGGGGATAGATGGTGGGCACAAGAGGCCCTAGAGGACGGGGATAAGATGTGCAAGAAATTTTTATATAGTTTGTGGCAGAAACGTAAAGAGCTCCCAAATGTTGGTGGTGTCTCTAGTAGGTGTAGGAACGGTGCTCCGTCTCGAAAGGGACGCGTGGTCAATGGTCAAATGACTACGGCAAGCAACAAATGAGTACGCCCCCCCCCCCCCCCCCCCGAAAAAGAACGACACCAAAAAAACTAACAGCAAAAACAACATCATTAACAACAACAGTAACAACAACAGACCAGTAACACCACCACCACCACCAACAACAACAACAACAACAACAGTAACAACAGTAACAACAACAAGATCCACCACAACCAGCAACAACAACATCGTTTCGACTACCAATCAATGCTCTTCGAACCTCGGGAGCTCCCGGCGGAAAGTCTTCTGGGTCAGATTCCTCATCGTCGGCCTTGGCCTTGCTGAGGACTAGCTCCTCCTCCTCTGACGACTCGTGGTGGTGCTCGATCTTCTTCATCGTCTTGGTCAGCCTTCGCCCTCTTTTCGACATCTGGAGCGGAGAGTTTTTTTTTCGGACGGGAACGGGCTATGTATGTAGGGTTGGGATGATGTGAACCCTCGGCTCGTGCCCAAGGGCGACGCTGTGGCGTGTTTTTCATCGGTCGGCCGGTCAGCGCGGTCGATGCTAACAGTACATATACAGAATCACAGACGGAGAGGCAGACAGACGGACACAGACACCGACACACACACATACACGCGACAACCAGACTGGCACCCGCACAGACAAGACAGACAGGCAGGAAGGCAGGCACGCACGCAGGCAGACAGAAAAGACAGACACAAACACACACACAGACACACTGGTAGACAGACAGACACAGGCACACTACACAAAGACAAAGCACAGGCAGACAGACACAAAAACACCGGCAGAATGCCCACGCACAACGCACACACCTGCACCGGCTCCGGCGCCCTCCTGCGCTTCGGCGGGGGCGGCGGCGGCGGCGGCTTCCTGTGCCTCCGCTTCCGCCTCGCGTAGTGGCGGTCCACTGCCTCCCTCTCTTCCCTCCTCACCCTCTCGTCCGCCGCCACCATCGTTTCCTCACCCCCCCCAGCAGCGGCCACCACGGAGCCCCCCCCCCTCCTTCCCACTTCTACACGGGGCCCCCCATCTCCGCCGCCGCCGCCGCCGTCGGCCGCCACCGGGAAAAAAGCGGAGGCCGAAAACGCCTCGCTGTTGTTGAAACGGTCACCGCTGCCGCCGCCTCGAGACGAAGAAGCCGGATGAGCGGACAAAGAGACGACCGAACCATCCGAGTCCAAGCGAGGCCTCACACTGCCGCCACCGCCGCCGCTTTCGGTCCTTTTCGTTGCTGCCGTACCCGTCGCCGCGGTACTACTGTTGCCGCCGTCCCCGTTGAGCGAAAAGGAACCGCCAGGCGGGGGGAACCGAAAGTCGGTGCACACGAGCATCTTCGAGGTCGCGTGGCACCCGCGCGTCGAGTTTCGTCCCCCGCCATGTGATATCGACAGCACGCGAGCGATAAATACCGGAGGGGTGGGGGGGAGGAAACGCAGGGGCGGGCGGAAAAGGGTTGGCATTGTATGTACCCTCAGCTGAGGTGACATCTTCGATTAATCGTAGTGTAGTTGGTTCGTGAGGTTCTCGAAGCCACGGGTGGGTCGGCGCTTGAAAGTACCCAACGGGACGATGATACGGCGAGCATGGCATTCGCTGCTGTGGCTTCCCCTGTTGGGGCACGCAATCTCGCCGGCCATGCTACAGCTTTAACCTACCTATATACCCGTGTCCCAATTTCTCTGACTTCCAACAAACAAAACAACATCAACCAAAACACACTCAAGCATCCTCACTGGTGTCCGTTTGCGTGTCGAAAACCAAACAGCCGTTGAATCGTGCAACCTACACACAAGTGTAGCTGCTACGAAAAATCACCGTCTTATCTCCCACCAGACTCCCTTCCACGCTCCATCCTCTCGAGGACGCGTGGGCAATCGTCAAACCGCTATGGGATGCCAAACATAGCAGTACGCCCCCCCCCCCCCCCCCCCCCACCTGGATCAAGGACCCCATTTTTGGGGAAATCTCCCAAAACTCGCGCCCCACAAAAGCCGGGTTCCTCCCCCCCAGGAACAATGCCACCACCCCCGCTCGCCAAAAAAAGTCCGCGTGGGCCAAAGGCGGAACCTTCTTCTCGGGGACTACCACCACCGGAACCCTCGCCGGGGCTTGGTGGCC